GCGCTACCGCATTGGCACCGATCTGACGCCCAGTCCAGTCTCTTCTTCTTCCTCATCTTCTTCTTCCCCAGCCGTGTCCACCATCAGACGAACGCTGAACATTACCAAACGAGGTAACCTTGCAGGTGGTAGTAGCACTGGAAATGGCCTGGATCTAGTGGACACTGCGAGCAGTGTTCTGAGCAAAGTTGGCAAGGCTATCGCCAACAAACTGCCCTCAGTGAAACTGAGCTCACTCTCAATGAGCGGTGCGGCAGCCAAAAACGAAGATGGGGCGGAGATTATTGTGCCGAATGAGCATGAGGCCAGTCTGGCGACACTGTACAACGCCTATCAAGTGCTGCAAAGACGAATGGAAACTACTGAGCACACACAGGCCCCTTCTACTTCATCACCGTCAGAGAATGCTTCCTCAAGAAGTAGCCAACAGCAGCAGCAGCAGCAGCAGCAGTCAGCTCAACCACCGCCACCTTACTACCATTACTACATCGGCGACAAGGACACCTACCAGAGCACAAGCACTACAACCAGTACTACCAGCACCAGCACCAGTTCACCCTTGAGCACAGTGCTGAATAGTTTTCAGGACAATAGTGGCCTAGGGTTCTCCACTGAGCACCTAGACAGCTCGGCTCGTGCCATTCCGCTGAACTTTACTGCCAGTAGCAGCAGCAGCACTGGGGCTCGCTCCATCAAGGCGAGACACGTTAGCGAACAGCTAGCAGAGCATGAAAAGAGACAGCAGGAAATTAGGCAGTTTCTCGAAGGGGGTGCTGAGGTAGGCGTGCAATTAACTGCTACTAACGGCACCTCTACTGACATACCATCACCCACGTACATCACCCCCTCCACGACGACCAGTAGTCCGGTAATCACTCGAACAGCCAAAGCAGTGAGCAGTGGCAGCAGTGGCTCACCGCAGATCCTCTACGCAGGCGACAACAGCCCCTGGAGGCCTCTGCTTAGATCGGCCGTAGTCGGTCGAAAGCGATACTGAAGCTGATCAACTCGATTTGACCACACACCAAATTGCTCTTATTTATTTTCTCCTCATCACCTCTGATCATCTTTATCTCCTTTTCCTAAATTATTTAGCACATACTAATTTATTGACTCACTTGGCAATTACTCTGTACTGTACTTTTCCTTCTTCTTCTTATTCCGCTTTTTCTAGCTCACATTCACATATTACTCATTATCGTTTAAAAATACTCAGAATTTGTATCACACTATTGCTTTGAAAAATTAATAAAAACATTACTTATAAATGTTTGAGCAGTGCTTTCAGCCGTTTGGCAAACGAGAGCAGTAAACTTGTGATTTATGAAGTGAGATTGCGGTGGCCAATCAATCATTTCACTTCGTGTCCTCTCCTTTGCACACACACCGATTCAGTCGCCGCTACGTCAGGACACGCTCTCTGCGAACGGCAATTTGTTTTGATGGATTTTTTTCTGTGGAATTTGTTCTCTCGCAGACACGATCTTCCTTGACCAGAAGCTGAAACAGCTGTTCCAACAAAGACTCAACCAGAAGGCTCCACGTCGATCCACTTCTGCTCTGACCTCCACATCAGCCCCTTTCCTTTTGGGTCCAGCGGGATGAGCAGCCAGTGGCCACCTTCATCAGTGCACCACCGCAGCGGCCATCACTCACCTGCCTTCTGCGTGTCCTACATACCACCGGACTTTAATCTCGACATTGCCCGAAGATGAGAGTGTGGGCGCATTAAATCGGAGCAAAGTGGGCAATCACCGCCACTAGTGAAGGATGAGGCCGCTTACGATCCGATTCGCCATCGGTTCGGCAGTTCTCCTCTTGGTGGACATTCTCTGGGTAGCTAGCTCAGAGATCACCGAGTACCTCTACCATGAGAAGAAATTCAACAAACCCTTCTTCACAGCCTACTGCAAGAGCGTCATGTTCGTCATCTACACCCTTGGTTTTTTCTTCTGTGATTCCTGGTGGTCATCGTACAAGAGCTTATCATTAAGTCGTCTGCCCGACTACTACTCTTCCATTGCTGACACTGACCACCAGAATCTGACCATGGATGAGGAAGATGATGATGACGACGAGGAGGAGGAAGAAGAGGTGGTTGTGGTTGAGGAGAGCCGTGAAGGAGGAGAAGTCGGCCCAGGCGATGATGGAGCATTCAGTGAGGTGAACATTCATCAGCCAAATGTGTCTGTCAACTGCAACATTGACGATATTGAGCCGGCGAAAGAGGCAAGTTTAGTTGCGACCGTTGCGAGTCCGTACATCGGTGAAGCCATTTGGATGCCCATCAGGCACTGCAGCGACACAAGCTCATTGAGGTTAGTGGTGCCGCCCAATGTTTATTATTGTTATCTTTTACTTACCATTTTTATTGCTCTTAATTGCTCATTACAGCGGCAGAAGTGAGACTGACGACGATGAGAGCACCTCGGTTGATGGCGATGTTATCATCGAGAACCTGAACAGCTCCTCCACTCACAATGGTCGTCCAGGTCACAAAGCCCCTGCCGGAAATAATCACAAAATGCTCTTAATCGGATCTTCCAATGTAAACTTTAAAAAGAAAAACAAAACTAAGCGGAAAAGTAAAAAGGTCGAGGAATCTAGCTTGAACTCTTCAACAAACGATGATGCTCAGAAGCCTCGTCGAAATGTTCGTTTTTCCAAGTTGATTGAAGTTCGCACCCTGACTGACAAACACGCCGAGGACGCCTACGTCTCTCGGCTGTCATACTCTGCATTTATGCGTCACATCTACCACAAAACACAGCAAAGTCTCAATGCGAGCAGCGACACCAGCGGCTCGGCCAACTCCAGCTCAAATAGTGCCGATTTTATGTACCGTGGACCGAAATTGAACGTCAAAGAGACGGCACTGCTTGCATTTTACTTTACACCCATTTGGTTCGCCGCCAATCTAAGCTTCCACGTTGGACTGCAGTACAGCGAAGCTGGTAATGCTCTTGTTTGGCTATCACCAATGAAAAACTCCTAATGATATTGATTTCAGGAATGGTTAATGTGCTCAGCTCGACGACTCCACTTTTTACGCTGCTACTCTGCATCATCTTTCCCTCTGGTTCCAGTACTGATTCCATTTCCCTGACCAAACTGCTCGGCGTTCTGGTGTTCATCGCCAGCGTGGCACTTATCAGCTCCTCTGAGCCCATCAATCACTCCCTTCAGAGCATCACTACTTTCACTAGCATCAGCAGCACGACGACCACCAATTCACCTGACACCGGTCACGGCAGATTCCACTTTCTCTCCGACTCGGCCATGCCTCTGGGCAGTATCTGGTCGCTAGTCGGCGCCTTCTTTTACGCCGTGTACATTGTGCTCATGCGATTCAACGTAGTCCACGATGCTATGTTGAACTTTCCAATGTTCTTCGGTGAGGAGAAAACAGTTAGAGTTGTTGAGCCTTTTCCTAATCAGCCACTTTCCAATTTAGGATTCATCGGACTGTTTAGCTTAATACTCATGTGGCCCATCATTTTACTTCTCAACTTTACTCAACTAGAAATCTTTGACTGGCCCTCAAAAGAGCAGTGGTTGCTCATTCTAGTCAATGGGCTCTGCGGGACTGTCATTTCGGAACTTTTGTGGTTATGGTAAATATGGCGGAAAAGAGAAAATGATGTACTTACAGCGTTCTGTTTGATGCAGGGGCAGCTTCATGACATCTTCCCTGGTGGGCACCATCGCCGTCTCCTTCACCATTCCATTGGCCATCTCATTTGACGTCTTCTACAAGAACATCGAGTACCCTCGCCTCTGGGCGACTGTGCCGATGTTCTTCAGCTTCATCATCATCATACTCGTGTCACAGTACGAAAACTGGGATCCCATTTTGGCGACGTTGGAGAAGTGCGTCCGCTTCATTGGCGTCACCTCCAATGAGTCAGTGGGCTACCGGTCAGCGGGTAACGGCGCTGCTGAGCCGGATGAGCCAAGTCAGCCTTCCAACCACCACCATCACCATGACCAGACCAGGCCCCAGCGACACTCGACACAAACTGAACAGCCTGCAACAGGCTCCAACAGCTCTTCCAACAGCGTCGTCTCTCTGGCATCATCGTCGGGCGAGAACAACAGCAGAACGTCACCACCTGGATCTGGTGGCGGTGCACCACCACCAGTGCCGACAAACAAAGCAATGGTGATGATCAACAATCGTCGCTTTGACAGCAAAAGCTATCGTTCGCTGAAAAAGTCTGACAACCAAGCTAACTCATCGTCGGCATTGTCATCGCTATCACTCTTCTGCGACGAAGACCAAGAGCAAAGTCAATCACTGATTGAAGCTGAAGATAATGCCTACGCTTGAAGACGTTTCACGCACAGCAAACGTTCTTTTTTCGGTACACTGTTGCCGCTTTTTCACTCAACTATTCACCCGGTGCTGCTGCAATACGTTAACACGGAACCCAATTGTACCGTATATACTGCAATTTGATGTGTACGTTTCAACACTACAACTACACCAGTGCGACTTTTGATGTGATACAATTACTCTACCTTCTTCCATTTTTCGACCACACTACGCAACCGTTAGACTGAACTGTGAAGTTTTTATTAGGGTTATTTATTATTTATTGTCTTCTCTTAAATTATTATTATTGAATAAACTACAGATTAATTCTACTGTACTAAAACAGATGTGATTGGCATCTAAATTGATAACTTAATATTTTATGAAAAAACTTTGAATATAAGTGGCGATATGTTGACTGGGAACATAAAGTGTGACCCTCACTGTAATTAGCATTTAACACTTTATGTGCTCATTTTGGTTCTTCATTTCCGTTATAGACAACACTCATCATTTACCCAATAATTAATAATTCATTTAATTTTTGTAATATTATATTGAACTGAAATAATAGGGCGATTTGTATGCATAATTAAAAATCATCCTAATACAAAAATTGTTTAAAATATACGCATCAATAGCATGCATCAGTGCATCATCTTCATCATTCAGCTGTTGGCGCCAATCATTTTCCAGTGACCTCCTCCTCCTTCTCGTCCTCATCCTCCTCCTCAATGTCCTCCTCATCATCGTCATCCTCGTTGTCAGTTTCGAAGGTGTCATCGGGAATATCGTAGATGAGCAGCGTCTGCTTGTTCGGGTCCTTCAGAATCAGATACTTGCCCTGGTCCAGCTTCATGCAGGTGTCAATGATGCAGCGCAGTACGCCCCAGGCATTGTCCAGATTGAGATTGGTTTGGTCGGCAAACTCACGAGGCTTGAACTGCTGAGTGCCCAGAATGGCGTGCTTGGCCGAGTCGCGGAAGTGAACGCGAGACACGTATCTAGAAATTACAAAAGTTTAGTATTGCTGCATAGAGGCTATAAAACACGAAAAAACCCTTACCCAAACTTGATGTGATCAGAGCCGGCGAGCAATGCCTGAACAGTCCATTTGGCCAGTTTGCACGAGTTGTTCTTCAGCTCGTTGGCGAGCACGGCACCTCGCTGAATGTCCAACTTTTGACGCCAGTCAATGGCGCCGGGCACCCGCGAGTCCCATTCGTTCAGCGCCTTAATGTTCATAAACTGCTCACTGCCGTTGGTGCCCACGGTAACGGCATCGTGTTCGCAACGCACCACCAGCTCCACGCCATCGCCCAGGTCAAACTTGCGGTAACGGTAGGCCACCGAGGCAACGTCAGACTCATCCTCCTCAGAGACAAATGGGTTCTTGTTCTCAAAGCAATACTTTTCCTCCTTCTTGTCGGTGTTCTTCAGAACTTGCTGCGAAAAGTTGTGGTTGATGTAGGTGGCTTCTAGGGCGAGACTGCGGGGGTTGTTGATGCTGTTGCTCTCCTCGTTGAAGGGCGGATCGGCGGCGGTTTCATTGACGGTTAGCAGGTCAAACTCAGAGTCGTCGCGCTTGTCGAAGAAGAGCTTGTTGCCGACGCGGTTGACAATGATGTCCCAAGAGGCGACAGAACGAGTGGCGCACATTAGCGTGGAAATGATGGCGTCAGTGGCGTAAACGGTGCCGTCAGTCTTGGAGAGCTTTCGAATGATGGGATCGTCAGTGGTGGTCACCTTGTGGTGAATGCGATTGATGCGCTGCAAACGCTTCTCATTCTTGCAGTTTACGCGATCATAGCTCTTGTCGTAGTACTCCAAAGATCCGCAAGTGTAAATGTCCTTGGCGTCGCCAATGCCGGGCAGCGAAAGCTTGCCCAAGCGCGGAAAGTCCATCTCTTCGAGGATCTTCCATTCAGGCCGAATGTTGACTGAAGCATCGCGCTTCTTGGCTTGATTCTTTGGGTCGTATCGACGGTTACCGCCACCCCGATGGCCAAAGCGGCTGTTGCCACGAGGATTGCGTGCATTTCGTGCACGAAGTACTTGCAGATTGTTTGGGTTGTTTTTCTGGTTACGGTTGCGCATGTTTCGCTAAAAGTGGAAAGAAAAGAAACATTTGTTAGGTTGGCATCATGTGAACCATTGTCAGAGTGTAAACAGTACCTGGCCCACCCTGATGCGACCGCGTTGGTTGCCGGTGCGTTGATTTCTGTTTTGATCAACCAGTTGAAATGCCTCGTCGTCGTCATACTGGTTGTAGTGCGAGTGTGATCCGTACTGAACTTGGTACTTGTCTAAAAACACCATTAGAATACTGTTTGTGCAGAAAGCAAAACAATGACTTACTTAGCATTCGCTTGTCGGAATAAGTGTCACCGGTCCAGTCGGCAATCTGTTTACAAAGTACTTGTTAGAGCAACTAAAAAAGATGTCACAAAATTCACTCACCATTCCAAGGCGGTCAGATTTGTTGAAGCTAACAAAGGGCATTCCGTTGACCAGTCGAGGACAGTCGAGAGACGGTCCCCAGCCGCCGACATTGGTGACCAGATTGGGCAGAATGAGCGACGGCCGTTTAGTTTCCGTTTCTTCTCCCATGATTGCTGCTTCAATTGATGGCTGTTGCTTGACGATGATGATACGCTGGATTAGATGGGATCAGGTTCACTGAAATGAGTTCTTATACCGATTCCAATTCAGACTTTTGTCAGAAAATATCGTCACAAAAAACTCACTGAAGACACGCACACCGGTAGTGGCCGCTAAAAGAAAACTGCCCACTTTTCTTCAACTTTTCAACGGGCAACGTTAAGAGTGCTCTCTGCTTTGGCTGTGCAAAACTGCAGAAAACTTGGCCGCATTTCAGATTCTCAGCACTACACGAGCAATGTAGCCACTCGTGTCGATTTAGGATATTGGGTGGCAGTAGTCGTTTTTAATTTTATTTGACAATTTTTTATTTTGATTTAGAACCATCTTTTAGATCAAAAGCATTTTAGCTCAAGCTTCAAAATTGATCCTCAAAATGATAAACACTGAAAATGTCATTTACTCGCAACTTGCAAAACTACTTAAAGCAGAATAATCACACAAGTCCAGCAAGTGGTAAGTGGAGTAATTCAGTTGAGGATTACGAGTTCTTAGAGCAGATTGGCGCGGGATCATTTGGTCAGGTGTTCAAGGCAAAGATCGACGGCAGTCACTGTGCAGTAAAGCGTATTTGTAAAGCCCAGTCACCCAACATCAGCAAAATCCTCTCTGAAGTGTTCATTCACATTCGCCTGTCACATCACCACATTTTGCAGCTGTTCAATGTTCTGGAGGATCTCAACAATGTCTACCTGGTCATGGAAATGTGCCACGGGGGCTCTTTATCCCACCTGATTAGCCGATTGGTTGAACAACAAAAATCCGAAAATGGCACGAGTTCAGCTGAAACTACCCCCACTATTAACCCTTTAAAGCCCGTCCTGCCGTATGTTGTCATCGGATCCATTTTGCGGCAACTTTGTTCTGCACTTGAGTACCTTCATCGAAACTTCATCATTCATCGTGATCTCAATCTGAACAACATCCTACTAGTCAAATCGCTCACTCTTCCAGTGTCAGATAAAGAAACGTTTTCAGAAGATCTCAACTCGATTCACATCAAGCTGGCCGACTATGGTCTGGCGATTGACCTCAATCAACAGGTTGTCAGTCCTGTGGTGCCAGCAAATGCCGCCATGGGCAACACCATCTGCGGAACTCCAGGCTTTATCAGTCCGGAAATCTGGAAACAACTGCGGACAGGAGCGCCTGCCATGGTGTCGCCAAAAAGTGACATTTACAGTCTCGGCTCTATTCTCTTTGCCTGCATAGCGGGATACACTCCAAGTGGTAACATTGTCAGTGCTACATTGTAGGTGCATTACTACAAAACTAACACCTTTTAGTTTCTTCTTCTTTAGGAGCTGACCAACTTTCTGCCAATGACAACCGATCTCATAACGCAACTGCTTGAAGAGGTGCCCGAGAAAAGGCCTAGTTTGAACGACATTCTCGAGCACATTTTCGTTTCTGGACGCATTGACTCTACGCGACTACTGCCAATAGAGAAAACGACTAAAAATATCCGCATGTCAATCGATAAATCTGGCACTGTGGAGTTGTGCTTTCTCCAAGACAAGGTCACCATTTTAGCTTCTGCTGATGGCTCACAAATCACCGTCAAATGTCCGAATACTTTCAAGAGGGAATACTCTTTCTACGAACTACCTCAAAGCTACTGGAAACGGTATGGCTATCTGACACGATTCATCAGGTTGATTAAATCAAAGACTGCTAAAATAACGATTCATTGTGAAAAGCTGTTAAAGGAAAACAGTGGTAGTAACAACAAGGAGTACATTTCGCGTGGAACCTTGATGGAGAACGGCGACTTTGAAGTGACACTGTTCAATAAAGTACTCAAAGAGGACTTTAAGTTTAAGATCACCGATCAACTGCCGAAAAATCTGGAAAAGTACAAACCGACCCTTGAAGTACTTCAATCCAGGCTCCTAGATGTCGAACGAGAGTTTACGGAAATGAAAAGCGCTGAAATGAACAAGGATCACATTTTTCCAATCTCTTGTGGATTCAACGACAAGATTTGCGAACTGCTCAAAAAGAAAAATGAATTTACGAGTGTTACACAGAGCCAAATATTAAAATCGATAAAAATCGATGGAATTGGCTTGGCTACACAGGTAACACCGTTTTATTTACCGAGTTTTTACCAATTCTACAAACTTTTATTTTACAGTTTTCCAATGGCTCTATCAAGGTCAACTTTAAGGACGGCTCCAATCTCTCGTTGGACAATAAAAGTCAGATATTCTACATTGACAAAGAAAACATTCTCCGAAGGTATGATTAATGACAAAGTCTAGTCGACCTTGTGTGTGTGAATTGTTTGCCACTAACGGCACTAATGACTCATTAGCGACTTTCTAAATGACAATAGTTTTAAAATAAGCTCTTTGCGTCTTTGCAGCTTCAACAAGGACGACATTCTACCGGAGGTGGTGCTGCAAAAGATTGCCCGCATGCCACAGGTGATTGATCACCTGCGAGGCAGCGAGGCAGCACCTTAGAACTCCTCTCCTCTTTGTTAAATGCATTTGAAAATTGAAATTTTATATTTGATAATAATATAAATCACCTAGTGTAGTATAAGTTAAAACATGTACATATTGACTGTGCTTTGAAAAAAAAGAGAAAAAAGAGGTGTGACCAAGATCACTTGGTCGACAGATGTGTACAACATTACGCCGGAAAACAATGACTCGAACAGCAGGGTAGCATAGAAGAGGGAGGGGTGGTGGACAAGTGAAGGAGGGTGGTGGAGGAAAGACAGTTCCATTGCATTGACTGAGGTTTGGCCTACATTTGCATCAGGTCTTGGCACCGCGAGGTTTTCATTTTTCTATTACATGTTCTGTGTGTTATCACCAGTGTTGTCTATTACTTCGTCAGTTTGTCGCTCACTTTAGTTGTATCAGAGAGAGGGAGAAATCAGCCTGAGTTTCGGAGTTTGGCATTTATATGATCAGGAGCAGAAAAATTGTGGGTGTATTGGAGAAAAGAAAAAGGAGAAAAAAGTTAAAAAAAATAGATACATCATATCATATCACTGGAGATGTAGTAGGGTAGGGGTAGGTGACACAGATGCTGGAGAAAGTATATCAGTTGAGGCTGTGTACACAGTAGCAGTTGTAGTCCTCTCTATCACCCGATATGGCCCCGCTCTTCTCTTCCCTGCCCTCACCACTTCGGTCTTCATCACTTCCGCCATTCATCCTCCCCAATCCTCCTCCTCCTCCTCCGCTGCTGTCGTTATCGTTCGTTGGCGTTTTTCCACTTTTCGTGGTCGTCTTTGCGCGCCTCCGGCGCCAGCTGATTGCGCATTCCCACCAGCACACTGGAGGTGGCCTGGCTCATGTGGATGATCGGGTTGAAGGCGATGTTGTGCGTGTTCATCAGCAGTCGGTTCATGCGCTCCTGCACGCTGTCCGCCGCCAGTCCCGTCCGGGTGACGCCCCGCACCGTGTCGTGCATGCCCTCGCGCATGACAGTGTACGCGGCGGTGAGGCCCTCCCGGAGGTCCCGGGGCTGCGAGTGGTGCAGCTGACTGAGCAGTTGGTGATGGGCGCGGTAGTTGGAGGGCGGCGTCACCACGTCGTGCGCAAACTGGGCAGTGCACTGAATCAGATTGACGAGGCGGTTGGCCAGCTCCAGGGTGGCCATTGCCGTCGACACGGAGAAGGCGTAGGCGCCCCGCTGCAGGCCACGGACGATGCGTCGATCACGTCGGTACTGGTCGATGGGCATCCAAAAGAGGTCACGTATTCCATGGACTGTGGACGGAAAGAGGGAAAATAGTGCGGTTAGTAAATCTGTGTCGCGCTATCAGCTCAATGATGCGTATGCTGTGTAAACAGAACAGTTAATGTAACACGTACAGAGTTTGATAAAGGAGTTTATGGGGCCAACGCCGCCGAGAATGGACGGCAACTGCTTGCTCTTGATGTCTTTGGCCCACTCCTCAATCGCATAGGCGAGCACCTTCTCAAAGCCCAGCAGGCCGTGCTTATTGTTTAGCTTCTTCAGGTGCAGCTCACACTGGTTCAGCTGCGCCAGGCCAAGGAGCAAACCTGGAAGAGCACCCTGCAAAAAAACAAAAATTGGTAAAAATGTTTCCCATCGTTGTAGAAAGTCACTTACATTCTTCAGGTCGATATGTTTGCCGTGATAGTCGAGCTTGATGAGCACGTCAGGGGTAAAGGCAAACGAGCGCACAAAGATGTTCTCAAAGGAGCCACTGGTGCTGGCCGAACTGCCCCTTCGCAGGTGTCCCTGAGCTCCGCCGTCCTTGCGACTGGAGAATGAAGTTCCCCCTTCCTCCTCGTCGTCCTCCTCCTCCTCCTCCTCTTCATCACTGAACTGTATGTCCCTGTTTGCAGCTCCCCCTCGCAGTGCCTCCTCATCGAAGCTGGACTTGCTCTCCGTGCGAGCCCTCTTCACGCTGCCCTCATTGCCGCTGTCACTGCCACTGTGACTGCTGTGGGCGGCAGTGCTGCGACCACCGTCTCCTCCACCTCCGCCGACTCCCTCCGCGGCAAACATCTTCTCGAGAATGTCACTCATCGTGCGGAAGAACTCCATGAGAAAGACCAGCGTGTCCTGGTCGACGTTGATGCGCAGCGGTTTCAGCGACACCTTCATGTCGCACTCCTCGCTCAGGTCGCTCAGGTTCCGGTGGCAGGTCATGCGCAGGCTGAACATGTTCGAGTTCTTGCGCTGGGGCGTCGACTCTGAGAAGTACTCGTAGAGGAGCTTCTTGATCTTCGAGGCGTTGACTCGGTCCAGAATCTCCACCTCCTGCACGAGAAAGATGAGCCGCCAGGCGAGCTCGTAGTCGCGGTCAAAGTTCTCAAAGAGCATCTTCAGGCGCTTCAGCACCAGGACGACGCAGGTGTCCGCCTTGCGCTTGCTGCCGCCGGCGCACTTGAAGCTAAAGTGGTTCTCCACCGGGACGTTGTTCGTCAGGTAGCCATTGTTCGACATCAGGTCGATGTTCTCCCAGACCACCGAACTGGTGTTCTGCTGAAAGCGCACCGCCTTCTGCTGCTCCCCTCGGTGGGAGAAGTGCTGGCCAACCGCTGACTTGCCGCTGCGCAGGGAGAGGTTCGTCTGACTGATGACGTCCAGCCGTGATGAACTGCGCTTGTCGTCTCCAGCAGAGCCACCAACACCAGCACCCTCGCCACCCTCGCCATCACTGGGAATGTCGTCAAAGTCCTTGCCGGCGTAGAGCGACACGCGGAGGGACATCTTCTCGAGGAGGTAGCGCGCCACCGTGGAGGGCGTAATCTCCGGAATCACATTGTAGTTGGCCAGCTTGAAGTGATTCTCAATCATGCGAATCGGCTGGTCGGTGAGCACCCGCACCTGCGGCTCCTTTGTCAGGTTGATGCCCGCGCCGAGATCGTCATCGCCCAGCATCCAGAAGGTGCTCTCGTCGATTCGTGGTCCATCACAGTTGGAGCAGTTGTTGCTGCTGCCGCCGCTCTTGTTGCTGTGGGCTCCCCCTTTGCCTCCCTCGCCCGTCCAGCCATCCTCGTCAGCACTGTCCCCCGAGCCGCCCTCACTCTTGCCTTCATTCTCACTGGAGCACTCGTGCAGTGCGTCGGCAATCAGCTCACAGCCGTTGCTGCTGCTGCTGTTGTTCTTGTGGATCATCATCTCCTTGGAGCCGCTTGCCTGGTCGCCTGCCTCGCCGTCAGCACCGCTGCCACCACCTTCCACCGCCTGTTGGTCGGCAATGAGCTGCGCGGCAAAGGACTGCAGAAACTGGCAAAGCGTGGCGAGTGAGTCCGGACAGGCCTTGACGTTGATCTCATTGTTGGAAATCTTCAGCTCCAGCCGCCCGTCCTTTGAGAGCTTCAGGTTGAGGTCGATGATGCCCGAGTCGATGACGGTGATGTAGTTCTTCATCGCCTCTGCGCAGACGTTGTTCCGTTTGAAGCAGAGCAGCGCCTCCTCAATGAAGAAGCGCAGTATGGTCTGCGCCGTGTTCTCAATCACCATCGACGTCAGGTAGATGTCCTCGACGTGCAGCAGCGTCGGCCGCTCCTTCAGCAGGTCAAAGCTGACCCCGGACTGGACAATGTCGGTGTGCAGCTCGACGACCACCTTCGGGCAGACGTAGCCGAGAATTTCGTCGTCCTTCAGGTTGACAAAGGTGTACAGCTCGTCAAAGATGGGCAGGTCGATGCCGAGCAACAGGGCGCGCTCCGCCTGCAGCGCCAGCTTGATCTTCTTCAGCATCGCCGTCTCCCGTTTGATCTCCACGGCAATGTTCACGATGCAGCTGCTGGTGTTCGAGCCGCCACCGCCGTTGTTTCCACCGCCGCCACTGCAGACGTCCATGTACGAGTTGCCAATGACAATGGGCCGATCTTCGCACTTGTACATCAGATTGTCCGTCACCAGACAGACGACGGTGCTGTGCTCCGACTCGGGGCCGACCACCACGCCTAGCGAGAGGTTCTGCGTAAAGAGGGTGTTTCGCCGTCGAGAGGCAGTGTAAAAGTCGACATTGAGACTGTCAATCTCCAGCTGCAGCATAAACTCGTTCACTGGCTTGGGCCCGCCACCGCCAATGCCGTTGATGTTCGAGTCGGCAATGGAGTGGAAGGAGGTCTCGCTGGCCAACGAGTCGTACGAGTCGCCCATTCCTCGGCAGCTGAAGAAAATAGTCTGCTGCTGTTGCTGGTGGCTCTGCTGTCCAGGCTGTGGAGTATAGCTGGCAGTGTCCCTGATCGCCAGATTGGACGTCTCCAGGAGCAGGCCAGCAGTCTCGTGCGAGTCCTGCCGCCCAAACTCGATGCGAGTTGAGGACATCATCGAGGAGGACATCATTGACGTGCCCAGTGCCGTGCTGTCGTTGATGGCAGAGGCGAAGATGTTCGAGGAGTCGATGCTCATTGCAGCGCTGATGTTGGGCTGCTGAACGACAGCTGATGCTGCTTCCGCAGCCGCCTCAGCCTCCCGACGTGACTTGACGTTGAGGTTGGGCGTCCACAGAATGAGATCGTTGACGAAGCGATTGTAGATGAGCTCAAACATGGCCTTGTCCTCGAGGAAGACGTCCCCGTAGGGCACGTGAATGTAAATGTACAATTTGGCGGACTGCTTGTTGGCGGTGAGGTACTGCGTCTGGTGCTCTCGGTCGCCCGGCGTCAGAATCTGTTCATTGCCCTCCTCCTTGCCGAACATCTTCCGCTTCACCTGAAAGGGCGTGTCGTGTCGGGTGCTGTGGTTGATGGTGGAGGCGGTGAAGAAGTTGATCGAGTCGGCCATCGAGTCGACGGTGCTCAGCAGGAAGTCGCTGTCCATCAGCGTGGTGGCGGAGGCGTTCTCCTGCAGCTGCGCCGGACTGAGCGTGCTCAGGTGCAGCGAGATCTCCTTGCTCTCCGACTGCGAGTGGAAGACCTTGCGCGTCTTCTCCTCCATTCGCATGTCAATCTCAATCTGCGAGCAGACCACCTCGCCGCCGTCCGCCGTCAGCGTCACGCTCAGCTCCGTCAGCTCCACCAGGAGAATCTCATTGTGCAGGTGAGAGTACTCCGTCCGGTCCGGTCGCATGTCCGCTACTGGAAAGTACATCTCCGCCTCGAGCTTCTCGCACTCAATGTTCAGCGCTAGCTGGTGGTGGTCACTGTCGTGAGAGCCTCGGTAATTAGGCTTGCTCACTTGTGAAGCGGCCTTATTCGCCGAGCCGCTAGTGAATGCCTCCAGCAGCTTGTGGTGCCGCTCAATCAGCGTCAGGTCAAGCTTAAGGGCCGAGGAGGCGAGCTTGATGTCGATGCAGTTCCGTGCAAAGTCCATCTTCAGGCGAACGCTAGGCGCAATGTCGGTCGCCTCCTCGTCATCCTTCACAAAGAGAATGTTGTTCAGCTCGCCCTCATGGTACTCGTAGACGCTGACGTTGATGCAGGAAAACATCAGCGCGCTGGTGCTCACCTCCACGCACAGGTTCGAGGCGGAGAGGCGAATGTGGTCGTACTGGTGGAGGATCTCATTGAGAAAGCCGTTGATGCCGATGAAGGACTCCAGCGTGTTGATCTGCGGCATCTCCTCAAAGATGGGCACGTCGGCGTTGTTGGAGATGAGGCACAGCAGAATGCCTGGCACCTTGAGGTTGCAGGTGAAGACGCACGGGTCACGACCACCACGACCATCTTTGGCTTTGGCGGCGTCTTGTTGGCTCTTTTGCTGCTTGTCAGTGGTGAACGGCAGGAAACGGTCCTCTTCCTCGGGGGCACTGTCCGAAGTCCACTTGTTGTTGTAGGAGAGTATAGAGCCCGTCATGGGATTAGCTTTCATGCGAACTTCCTTGTGCATCATCTCCTGCATGTAGCGGTAGTCCTGCGGTGAGAGTGGCTTCCCCTGCGGAAAGCTCTCGCCGCCACTAGAGCCTCCCTTGTCGTCGAGAATGAGGATAAACTCCTGCAGCACCTTCAGGTGGTCCGAGTTGAGAATTGCAAAAATGTACGAGCTCAGGTAGACCTCAGTGTCGATGCGGTTGCCGTCGAACTGTACTTTCACGGTGTGATTGCCGCTCAGCTTCGTAATGAGAATGTCATTGATCAGAACTTCAATGCCTTCCACGGTGATGCGTTTCGTCACCACGTCGGAGAGCTCTCCTCCCTTCTCCGTTTTGCCATCGCCCTTGTCCAGCGCGATCTCCTCCTCTTCGCATCTGATATGGCCAATGCGAAGCTCAATCTCCTGTCCTGCGCCGGACCGTTTGTGTGGCAGCACGAACTTGACTACAGTGTTGGTGGCGGAGAGTTTGAAGCGACGGATAACTGAGTTGATCAGGTGAGCAAATTTGTCGAGGCCCTCAAACTTCTCCTTCTCCGAGTTGACTATCTCCTCGGCGATCTCCATCGAGGAGGTCATGAGGGATTTGGAGAGGATAGATGAGGCCTGGTTGGCATCGTGTCGTTGGCATTGCTCGAGCTTGCAAAAGTTTAGCCGAATGCCTTCAAGGTGAATGGTGCAGGACTCGGTCCACAGGGCGTGCCAGGGAATGGACACTTCAATGCGGCCGAGGCGGCCTTCGAGGAACTTTAAAGGCACATAGGAGGAGACTTCGTTGTTGATGGTGTCCACGTCGAGAGGGATGCCATCAACGATGGAACATTTGCCGCCGTAGAGTTCGACATTTAACTGGGAGAGGTCGAGTTCATCGGAAAGATAATGGCCTAGGTAATGCTGAATAAGGTACTTTATGCTCAACTTTTTTAGAGAATCAGTTAAGCCTGGCCAGGGCATATTTGAGAGAAACGCTGCAGCCATTGTTCTGGCGCTGCTGGTGGTGGTGGTGACGATGGTTCACTGGCAGTATCAACGAGGTGAACATGCCCGTTTATGACACAATTTGCTGGTGATGTTGCAGTTGGTGTCGGGGTGATTCAGTTTCAAATTAACGAAAGAAGAAGAGGACGAGACCAATTCGAAGGACACTTTTGTGTGTGTTGTTTGTGTGTGTGCTTGTTTACAACAGTGCTGCGCACTTCTGCAGGCAGGCGGACAGACTGACGAGCCTGCTCTGTTGTGCTGATCAGCTGCTGCTACCAGTCTGCTGTGGCTCCGCCTCCTTAGAGGGAGCCATTTTTAGAAAAAGTGGGCTTCCCTGCGCAATGCTTGTGTATTTGCCAAAAGGTCATTTTCAAGGTACACATTTCTCAGAAACCACACATCGGAGTTCGGTGCTGTAAAAAGCAAAATGTAGGCAAGAATGTGATCTTCATTTTAATCAAGAGCAATTTGAGTTTAACAGTATTCCTAAGCAATTATCATGGTTTTAAAAAACAATACGTTTTTACAACGTAATTAATAAAACAATTAAATTTTTTAATTTTTTTGCTCTTGATTGAAATAAAGATCACATTGTTGTCTTCATTTGGCTTTTTACAGCATCTAATTCCGATGTGTGGTTGCTGAGAAATGTGTACCGAAAAATGACACTTTGGCCTATGCCCAAGCATTGCGCAGGAAAGCCAACTTTCCCTAAAAATGGCTCCCCTTAACGAGGCGCTGATTTCTCAAGCCTTGAATCACATGTTGTGACGGTGTGTGTGTGCAAGAGGTCTGCAAAAGTAGAGGAAGAAGAAGAGGTGGTAGAGTAAAGTTTACAACAGAAACTGACGATGCTGCAACGATGCTTGCAGTCAGCACTTGTGGATGGACATGCTGTAGTGAGGCACAAATGCCCAGATAACGACGGTGGTAACGAGATGATGATGATGATGATGATGGCAAGCAAAGAGTGCTTGAGAGGACGACCAGCGATCGTCAACATCAACAATGTCGTCGGAGACGGCCACTACGGTCCATCAGAGAAGTGCCCAGTCATCAGTCATTTGCAGTGATAAGAGTGCTGCAGATCAAAGCACTGTGAACATCAACAAAGATCAGAAGACCGGTCTTTAATGGCGGAAGCTAGGGTAGTAGTGAGGACTTTGCCTCACTGCCACCAGTGTCGGTTTTCCCTCGTTTTGGTCTTTTGCCACTAAACTATTTCGGTGATTCTCTCTCTCTCTCTCACTGTATTCCGTTCAGTCACTTTTAGGTGCAACGTCATCACCAGCTGCAGCAGCACCGCAGAACTACTGACGGGCAATTCCGCATGCTGGCACCCGACGATGAACTTTAAGAGCAGCAGCGGAAAAATTCCCGTCCTTTTGTTGAGTCTTGTGACGCAATTGCGCTAATGAGCGAGAGATGATCACTCACCCTCAACAAACTAGAAGGGGGACAACTTCACGATGGTTATGTTCTGGGCAACACAACAACATCGGCAGCAGCAGCAGCCAATACACCTGCTGATGCTGCTCAAACAAGGAAAGTCACATCTACAAGTCTCTGCATGTTTGGGTTGCCAATCGGCGATGTAGAGGTACTGGTGTGAAGTGGCCAGCAGAAGATAAAGTCGCAGTAGACTGTAGGTGTGCACACTGCGCTCTCAGACCTGGTCACTGTCAAGTGGAGGAGGGGGAAGCCAGCGGAGTGGAATAGATTGCAGGAGAAGGATAAGGAGGTGTTGAGGTAATTGAGGATGTTGAGTCATCACCCTCCTGACCAGTTTACCACCAGCAGCAGTAGAAGCAGCAGTGTTGATGCAGTCAGTCAGGCATCCAATTTCGAAATGATCACCTCCACGTGGAGGCTATCCAAGCTGACAGCAGATGGCCGTAGTGCTTCTGTTGTGATCGTCGCAATTTTCCGTCTGTCGCCGACAGCCACGATGTCAGTGGGGAGAATGATGATGCTGTACATTGCTTGTTTGATGTACAAACACTGCCAAGTCACCTGTTCATCTGACTACTAGTACCTTAGTGAGAGTAATACCTTTGTTGACACCTAACGCACAACACCTTAGGAAAGCATTCATCATCATCTTCATCATGATTAAAGCCGTCATTGTCGTCGGTGGACCGCAGAAAGGTAAGCATTTAAGCATGTTGTTGCCGCTTTTCTAAATCTTGTCTCTCTTCATACAGGAACTCGATTCCGTCCGCTGTCACTAAACAGTCCGAAGCCGCTCTTTCCGGTGGCTGGCATTCCAATGATTGAGCACCTGATCAAGGCCTGCGTTGAACTGCCCGACATGAAGGAAGTCCTTCTGATTGGCTTCTACCAGCTGGAGGAAAGCTTCAACGAGTTCATCCAGTCGATGATCGTCAAGTACCGCATTCAGATCCGCTACCTGCAGGAGTACGCCCCACTAGGCACTGCCGGCGGTGTGTATCACTTTCGGGACATGATTCGCCTTGGCGAGCCAGAGGCGGTCTTTCTCATCAATGGAGACGTCTGCGGCAACTTTGCCCTGCAGAAGATGCTGGACTTTTTTCGCAGCCTCCCCGAGACCAAGATGATCTCTGTCATGGCCACTGAGGCCACTCGCTCACAGTCGCTCGATTACGGTAAAATGACCGGAGGTCTATTTGAAAAACCCTGAAACTGACTTTGGTTTTTGGTCCACAGGTTGCATCGTCGAGAACAAGGACACCCACGAAATGCTGCACTACGTAGAAAAGCCGAGCTCCTTTGTGAGCACCATCATCAGCTGTGGCGTGTACCTCTTCTCACTGGAGCTTCTCAGTCTTCTGTCGACTATCTTCAAAGGGAAGCACAATCCAGATGAGAATGAATTTCTCGCCGAGGGCGACATTCTCTTGAAGAGTGTCCACTCTGACGGCATTAGTCTGGAGAAGGACGTCCTCGGTTCGTTGCTCGACTCAAAACGAGCTTACGTTTTTCAGCAGCGAGATAACTTCTGGTGGAGTCCCATCAAGACGCCAGGCTCGGCCATCTACGCTAATCGCAACTACCTCACACTGTACAGAAAGTCACACCCCGAGCTGCTGGCCACCAGTGCCCCCGAAGGGCCAAAAATAATAGGCGATGTGTACATACACCCAACTGCCACCGTGGACCCCAGTGCAACTGTAAGTTTGATTTGAAACAAACCTGTTGTTGCTTTCTAAACTTGTTTGAACTACCTAAAACCCCCCAGATTGGACCCAACGTGAGCATCAGCGAGGGCGTTAAAGTGGGCGCCGGTGTGCGTTTAAAGGAGTCCATCATTTTGAAGAACGTCACCATTAACAACCACTCGATCATCATGTACGCCATCGTCGGGTGGAACTGCGCAATAGGCTACTGGTCAAGAGTCGAAGGAACGCCTTGCGACCCAAACCCCAATAAAGCCTTTGCGAAGATGGACAACCAGCCGCTTTTTGACGGCGACGGAAAGCTCAATCCGCTGATAACGGTTCTCGGTAAGTGCTGCGCTCTACAGGGTGAGTTTCATTAACGCGTTTTCTCCTTTGGAAGGCTGCAACGTTCAGATTGCATCGGAGATCATTATTCTCAACTCGGTGGTGTTGCCCTACAAGGAGATCAATCGAAGCTATAAGAATGAAATCATTCTCTGATTTGAGTTGGGACGACTTTTGTTTCCTGGAGCCAAATTGCCTTTCTGCAATTCATTTTGAGAATCATTTTAGCCACCTGTAACTTTTTTGCAATGTATCTCTATTCATCTGAACCTTCTTATAGAAGGGAAAAACAGTAAAACGATGGTTCGATTGGTGAAAATGTTTTAATGATTGCCCTCTCTGTCATATCAAACTCAATTGTGCAGAGAAAAGTAGGCGATTTAGAAAAAAAGAAGATTTCTAATGATCTAAAAGAGGAGGGACGCACAATAATTTAGTGGTCGATAAATGGTCAGGCATCAGTGGCAGCCTTTCAGTGTCAGGAAAGCCGGTCAACATTTTTTTGTCCTTTAGCTGATGCGAATGAAGCACACAGTGCACATCTCGCACTGTGCTCGAATGTAGCTTAATCGATTAACGCTCGCCACTGATCACCGGTCAGTGCTGACAATGGCCACCACCACCACCACTGCTGTTGCACTAATCGATAGCCCCACTACCAAAAGTGCTGCTCTGCTCTTCTATGGCACCGTTGAGGTCTTCATCAGATCACCTTCCATTGCTATTCGCCAGCACTTGATCCTCTTTCATCTTCATCTTCTGTGTCTTCTTCTTTTCACAGCTCGCATGATGATGAACTCGCTCTCTGGCTCACATCAATTGCCAGACTCTATTGGGAGCCACAGAACAACAGCATAAATGGTGAAAAGAAGAGCCCGGACGTCTGCTAATTCGATTAGTAAGCGTCATTACTGGTGCTCTTTCCTTCTCTCTGCTAATGCTCGATATCGCTCGCTCGCACTTGTCATCATTGCCAGCATAATGGCCGGTAATCGAGCTGACAGTTGAACAGTGCTGCTGCTGCAGCGGTCGTGTCGAGCGAGCAAGTGGTGGCCACGATTCATCATCACTCCTCCACTCCACTTGCTCAGACAGCCATCAGGCGGAGGACAATACTGGAGCAAAAGCACTTCAGGTGCTCCTACTTCTATTCTAGATAGAACAACGCGCACATCAACGGTCATCGATTGGGCCTGAACAAAGCCTATCGAGTGCGGTGGTGGTGGTGCACCATTATCAGAGTGGTCACTGTGGCCATCTTCATCTCTTCATTGCCTGCTTTGTTGTTGTTGCAGGCATCATCATTAGGAGAAGGACAAACTGGTGCAGACCTGGAGAGACTAAAGGGGAGAGGACACTGAAATGGACAAAAGGAGATGAAGTGAGGTGGATGGCGGGCAAGCGTCTCTCGGCACAAGTCGCTCAATCGAAGTCTCATCGGTAATGACGGCACCAGTTGTGATGTTTGCCTTCCTTCCTGGTAATGCTCTGGCCGCCTCAGTCTAAATATAGTCTTTGTCATCGACATCAGCAGCAGCAACAGCTGAAACAGTGCGCCAGATAGCATCTCCTTCTTTTCCCCTTTCCACTACACACACTCATATGCATTTAAATTGGGCAAGTATTTTTAGAGCTAAATCAAACAACTCGCCGAAGAAGAAAGAAGAAAGATGTGCAAATCACTGTGCGATATCCTGTGCAATACTTACGAGAGAAGAGAAGAAATCAATCAAAAATATGGGCAAAATCAAAAGATAAATGTGCACGAGCGATATAATCTTCAGTTGTGCAATCTCTTTGCATCAGCGACCACTGATGCTGTGCATTGATTCGATTAATATTTATCGACTGATCGAGATCGACTGGCAACATGAGAAGAGTGAACACTAGCGAAGAGTTTGCAGAAGACCACATGAGGTCAAGACAGAGGCACAGGTGAGCACATCCGTCCGTGAGATCACTGAACACGAGTGTTCACTCGTCATCGTCCTCCTCAGGGCCATTGATCATCGAACTTTGTAAGGCGCAATGTCACTTGTCAGCAACACACACACACACACACGTATTTTGACACTGTTCACTGGTGATCACTGTAGGAGGCATAATCCAAGTTTTCTTTCTATTTCTCGCTGCGTTTCGACACCTTTCAATCAGAAGGAATGCTAGCGCACCAGACGGCTCATTCAATGGAAAAAGTCAAATGGCTGCTTTGTTCAGTTAGACAGTCAGTCAGTTACAGTTGGAAAGTGGCATTTGTGCTGTGATTCAATTAGATGCACTAGTAAGTATTTACATACTCATCACAAATTGCAAATGGCTCAGCAGCCTTCGGATCACTCTGGCCTAACAAACTGGCTCTTTTATTGCCCATCTCCATTATCATCACAATTGACATTGTGCAGTGATCTGTTTGTCTGACTCTGAACATGTGTCTGTGTGTGCAGTAATTAAGCCAGTAGGCATACAGGGACACTGTCGGTAACCCTATTCTTAGTGAAGAAAAAGCAAAGAAAAAGGCAAAAATGCGCTTCAAAAGATGCGCGCAAATCAGATGAAGAAAGAAACTGCTGCAAACTGAAAGATGGAGGAAAAAAGTGCATGCTGCCGCATTTGACAAGAGCAAATTATGATTTGTGTTCAACATCTGAAGAAGAAAAAAAGAAAAAGAAGACGTTTCTCTGAAGATGATATACATCATCAGTTGTGTTCATTTCGTGTCTTTCGGGCTGTGGCGCCTGTGTGCGCTGGCGCTGCTTAAGTCACAACCCTAGATCTAATTTAGTCAAAGCACACATAGCTTCGGCAAAGCAAACACAGCACATGTTCTTATTTTTCAAGTGCTCTTTTTGCTGAATGGATAGCAACAAGCAGTTGGCCTCTCTGCTGTGTTTTCATACGAGGCCGGCCATATCTNATAGGGGTCGCAAAAAACCGGTTTTGGTTTAAGAAAAAAAACCGGTTTGAAAATTGCCCAAAACCGGTTAACCGGTTCGGTTTTCGGTTTTCGATTGTTTTTGAAACTATCGATTTTTTTCTCAATTAAAATCGATTGTTTTATAGAATCCTTATCAAAAACGATCAAAAATCAACATTTTAATGATTTTTATCTATCTAGCAACTACTTAAAACCACAATATAAAATCAGTTTGTAACAATGAGTTAATTTTTGGTTCAATAACTCAGATGATTTTTTAATAATTGTGCAAAAAACAAAAAATTATAGGTATGCAGGTTTAAGTGTTCCAGGATCTT